TATCAAATAAAGGAGAAATTTATAATTCCCTATCATTCTTGACGGGTTATCTACTTTTTAAAATATAACTCTTTTGATATTTAAAAAACTATAATAACAAGGCTATTCTTTGAAAAAATGATAGATATCAGGGCTGTCAGATGTTTCAAATAAGTTTGGAGAGCCTGGTTCTTGGGATATTTTTTTATTGTTTATACAGGACAGTAAGAATGTACTTGATTTCTGTTATAAAAAATCAATTTTTTTCTACTTAAACTATTTCATTACCTACTCAAATTATCTAAAACCAGAACTTCCGTTAGTCATCATTGAAATTTCCAAATACCTGTCCATAAAATATATATGTAGAATTTTCATCATACCTCCTTCATAATCAAATAAAAAGGAAATTAATATTCACCCATCACAAATAAAGAATATATGGTTTTAGTATTTTATAAATTATTATCTTAAATTTGCATTTTAAACATGTTTATTTCAATCATTTAACTACACATTGAATAAAAACCTCTTTATTTTATAAGAATAAGATCGCTAGTAGTCAGAGGTAGAGATTGATAATACAAGAACTTGGAAAGCGGTAGTATTGATTGAAAATGTATAATTTATAGTTAACTATTTATCTAATCAGAATTCTTTTATATAAATTAACAATTAATATTTTTTAAGACAAGGATTTTATTTGTTTGAATATCATTTTTTAATCAAAATAAGTATCGTCGATAATATAAAATTTTTAGGTAATCTTTTTTTCTGAAATAATATATATATCAAAATTAAACATCATTTAATATAACTAAATGTTCAATTTACATAATATCACGATCTATATTATTGCCTTAAACAGTAATCATTTAAATAGACCTGTATATTTACGCTTTAGACAATAAAAATAAAGAACTTTAAATTGAAATAAAACATTATTATATATTACATGTTACCAACATGTAACAAATAACATTTGCATAGTTGAAATTAATTAATATATATTTTACTAACATATTTAGTTTAAAACAAAAATTCTTTATTTTATAAGATTTATAAATTAGGTGAAAGTATTAAATGTATACTATTCTCAACATATAAGGGACTATCATATTAATGGTTAAGTTAACTACCTCAATAATCAGAAGATATTTTTTTGAAATCATTTTCTAAAGGTTCCAGCAAATGTATACTCTGTTCAGCTTTCCAAATTACTGAACAAAATTCTAAAACTGTTTAAAATAGCTGGTTGGGAAACTCTTAATTTAAATATCAATATTATAAAATTCAATAATATTAATGGTGTGATAATTAAACCAAAATATAGTATAAGATTTTTATGCATAATACACAATGTAGCACAGATGCAAAGCATTCACCTTTGATATGGAGTATCATAAGTTCAAATCTGGTGTTTGCAATTAACATTAATATAGTCTCCTTAAATTCAAAAAATTGAAAATATGATTACAAAAAAATTAATAAATTCTATAAAGTTGACTCTAATAGTGATGGTTGGAAAAATATTACAGGAGTACCCATTATTAATTTTATAATTGCTACCCCACAACCCATAATCTATTTAGCTATAGACACAGGAAGGATTCTCATATAGGAGAATTTATTTAAAATGAACTCATCAAAGTAATTGAAGAAGTTGGAAGTAATTATATCATTGTTAATTTAAGAAATATGAAAGGACCTGGGATATTATAAAAATAAGCACAAAGAAAACGGAAAATTAAATCTGCTAATAATTAAGTTTTTTTATAGTAAAATTTTGCCTTTCTTGTCTTCATAGATATTTAAATCATATTGTTTTTAAAAAACGTTGTTCGAAGTATAATCTAAAAATGGGAGATTATACATATCACAATAGACATTGTCGTATAACATATTCTAATATCATAACTAATTTTAATATTAACATTTAAAGTATTTGATTCTATTACAAAAGAGGAAATATATTTGTAATTGAAATGACATATTCTTTTAAGATTCTTTGCCTATTCCTGTTGAATAGCGTATATTATTTAAGCAATTTTTTTTAGGCAGTATATTAATCAAAATGGGCACTATTTTTATTATCAACAAATTAGTTTTCTGGGCGGTAAAGTAATTTAAAATGGACAGTATTATTTTATCAAAAATAATAAACAATTTGGGCATAAATTAAGTTGAATTGTAATAAAATTGTATTGTACAGTATTATTTGAAAATTGTTTATTAGTTATATAAATATCTTTTTATTATTAGTTATCAAGTATGGTATGAAAATTAATATATCAAATATGAAAAAGTTAGTGAATTAAATATAATATCAATATTGTTATGAAATTGCTGTTAATTTTTATATCTAAAATTTAATTAAATCTTATATAATATTGTACAAGAGCCTTTTAAGTATTTTTACAAATATCACTTTTATTTTAAGTTATCAACAATATTTTATAAAAATTAACAAATATATCTGACAAATGATTTGTCACCAAAAACCAAAGGAAATCCATTGTGAATGGCTTTTGCAGCATCTGAAAATACTTCTATTATTTTAACCCAATGTCCAGATATCTAATTCAAATCCCCAGAGTTGTTAAACGCTACTTTTAAAAGTAGCTCGCTACCGCTACCGCGATTTGTTAAAAGAAGTAGCGCGTTACCGCTATCGCTATTTGTCAAAAAAAGTAGCTCGATATTAGCTACTATTTTTTAAAAGTAGCTTTAGCTACTTTTTAAGCTACTTTTTATAAAAAAAAATTACAAACAAAATTTTTATTTTTTACTTATAATGTTATTGTATAGTAAATATATAAAAATCAACATTTATAAATATTAAAATATAGTTAGTTTTGATTATATGTAATAAAAATAAATATTTATGGTAATTTGTTGCATTTTAATAATAAAATCATTTCAATATTATCATCCCCAAGTCTAGAGCAACGATCAGAAAGTATAAGTTTTGCCTTATTAAATAATCTCTCGACACTAGCACTTAAGGGTAAGGGCGTATTTAATCTTATATACATATTTTTAATATAAGATAGATTATCAATAATTTTATTTGCAAGTACATCGTATGTCTGGCATCCTATTATTATTTTGAGGGCTAATGCTACAGATCTTATTTTTAAAGTTCTAAAGTCTAGCCAATGGCCTGTGATTCCCAAATTTAAAAATATTTAATCATCAATTTATAAATATAAATAAGTTTTTACCTTCTGTTATGTGTTCAACTATCTCCCATGGTACATATATATGATATCTCTGATAACTATACTATTAGAGCATCTTTCATCATTTTAAAGTTATCTGCTATTTTATTCATTAGTGTCTGGCGGCATAAAATTGTTGTACCATAGGATAGAGTTTTATTCATCATGGTAAATCATGGATTATCAACTAAGGACTTTGGCTGAACTGTATAAATTATAAAATCAACAATAACTTTATCAGCCAATTTCTGAGAAATATTGTCATTTGCATTATTAATAAATTTGGCTTGAATTTAATTAGTCTTTTTGGATGTAGAGTCGCCTATACCAAAATTATTTAGATGTTTCTCCATTTCCTTAAAACTCATGTACAGTCTTATAAAATAAATATTATTAGAATGTAAAAATGACAATTTACCTTTAGATGTTTCTTGAGGTTATAGCTAGTTTATTGATTTGAGGAAATATTTTTTTTACATTTTAAACAAATAAATTTGAAACCAGTTTTGGTTATATATTTATTTTAAAAAATTTTCAAATCTTGGGAATGGGAAATTTGTATTATAGCTATTAAGAACATTTTCTTCCCTGGTATCTTCCATTTCATTAATATCATTGTCTGAATCACTTTCAACGATTTGGATATCCATAGGCGATGACATTTTAAATTATTAACATGTGATTTCGGTTTATAATACAAAGGAAAATATAAATTACAAATTGAAATTATATATTAATTCAAAATTAAATAATAAATCATAAAAATTATAATTAATTATGATATTATATTTAAATTTTCATGTTTATACTTACCTTCATTATATTTTTTAAAAGTAGCGAAGTAGCGACTACTTAGCTACTTTCAAAAAAAGTAGCGCGCTAAAAAATTAAATAATTACAAAAAAAGTAGCCGCTATTAGCTATAGCTACCAAAAAAGTTAGCGCGCTACTTTAACAACTCTGTAAATCCCTTAGCTCATTAAAAACTTCCTATTTGAAGTAATATTAAATTTTATTTTTGTTAATGTCCATAATCATTTCTATTTCTAATTTTACATCATTAGGAAATTTGAGATATGTTTGATGTTACATAATCATATAAAGAAGATAATTCTTGCAGTATATTGCTTTCCACTTTTTTATTTATTAGCATCTAAAATAAATAATGTAAAAAAATAAAACTTCCCATAAAAAAACTGGAAAATTATTTATTAACTGACCAAAAATTTAAAATCCTGATACTGCTCGAATCAATAAAAAACTTCAAAATTAAATATTAATAGCCTAAAAAATTTAAAATACCTATCAAATGTTTTTTTTACTACCCATTTTGCTGCATTTCTAAGCCCGAAAAATTTGTCGTCTATTTATTTATATAGATTATATATAATATACCCCACATTTGCCTTCAATTTTTTTAGATCGAAATTCTTATTTTTATATTTTTTAAAGGGATTTCCAAAATTTATTTTAAATTGGATTTGATTAGGAATGAAGAGATTAGGGAAGTCTTGAAAATTACTAAAATTAATGCCAAAATGGAGAAGGGTAGGTTGCAGTTGGCTGTATATACTGGAAAAAAAATAATTTGTTGGAAGCTGAAGGTGAACTAGAAGAGGTCTCCCAAATAAAAAATGGAAGGAAGCCATCTTTAAAACTAACGCAACGTCCTAACATTTTTAGGAAGGATATAGAAAAGCGTGAAGGACAGTAATTAAGGGATTAGAAAGAATAATTTGTTCAAATAATAGTTAATTATAATTTCATTATTCAAATTATTTTATATTAAATTCATTAAAGATTTGAAGAATGTATAAAGCAATGCACTACAAGTATTTACAAAATCTTCTCAATTTTAAGTCATCAAAAAAAGTTGGATATAAATATAGGCGTAAACTATGAAGTTTTTGGATTAAAAATAGTAATGACATTATTATAGTTATACTGTTTAATTTCAATTAATAGATTAACTCTACTTCAAACAAGAATCAAAATTTTATTATGAGTTTTAATTCAAATTATGTGAAAATATATTTGAAATATCTTTGTACTGAAGTATTCAAATGTTATTCTTTTTTTGCAAATACTTTTTTTCAATATTTAGGTCGAAGAATGTTTTTTGAATTTAGACGACATAAATGGATACTTGATTTGGTACAAAGAATTTTCCACCAGTTTGACCAAAGAATCATTAGGAAATAAAACAGAATTAGAGGTGCTGTTTGGCGATCTATTTAGCGTTTCACGCAATTTTAATTACTCAATATTAACGTATACCAGTTAATTTATATATGTATTAGTTGTTTTTTTAGTGAAGTAGATGAAATGAAATGTCACAAAAAAGATATTATTAGATTAGTACGAATTATAATGAATAGTAATCTTGGAACCTCTCTAAAAGCTTACTCAGCATTTAAATTTTTAAAATATAAAATAGATATTTTAAAAAACGATGATTTAAATAAAGATTCCTACCTGAACCATTTTTTTAGAAAAATCTTATACAAATTTTTAGTCATGTACAATTCCGAGAAAAAAAATTTTACTTTAAAAAATATTTGTAACATATTGATGGAAATCTATTCGCATAAGGTATTCATTTTTATATTGAACATTTTTATAAGATTTTTATAGAAAAGTTTTGGTGAAATGAAGATACTAAATTTATTATACGATTGTGACTTTCAATTAAATACTTATTTGCAACTTGCTCATGTGAACATAAGTAAATGGGAAAAAGGATTATTTGATATAAATCATGTATCGATAAAATATAAAGATCATAAGTAATCAGCATGGGACAAATATCGAATTCCAACGAACTCAGAACCCTACACTTTAAATTAGAGATGCACTATCGGTTAGTATCTGTAAAAGCCCGAAACATCCAATTTTAACCGATACCAGTGGCTAATACTCAAAAATCATAATAAATTTATATAAATTATTTAAAAAAATAAATAAATAGTTCATTCGGGAATGAGGCGAAATCCCTCATCAAGCTTTTATTAGCAAAGAAAGCCCCAAATCAACAATTTTGAGGGCCTTTTTGATCAAACAAAAAAGCAAGCTTCGAAATTATATGTTTCAATTTTAAATTATTTAAAGATTCCTGGGCATCATCAGATGAAGATGACTACTATTATTTTTTACTTTCATTTTTATATAATTATAGATATAATTACTGTTTATTGCTTATTTATGATAAGATTGAACATACCAGGCGTGCTTTAATATTTCCATTAAAAAATTTTTATAACAAAATAATATACATGTAATATAAATGAAGAAAGGTAAAAGAGACAAATCGCAATTCTTACAAATTTGTCAATTTTTACAAATTTTCCATTTTGTCAAATTTTATAAAATTGTCATTAAATTTGTATATAATCTTATCATTAAAAAATTTTTAATAGAAAAAACCAACTTAGGATATTGTATAGCCACATTTAAGTGATATTTGATAGCTGTTAAAAAACGGAATGAAGCGTCCTCTACTGTGCACTAATTTATTAATAAAGAAATTTAATAAATATTTATTTTTCTGATGACCGTATTACATTTGAACATCACATCTACAGTCTGGTCCTAGTGGTCTAAGATTGACCGCTTTTTTGATGGCCGAAGTCTGGACCAGTTTTTTAAGTATTATGTATTCCGGACCTGCCTTTATTAATATTTAAGTTTTCCTTACCCTCATATAATTTTTAAGTAAAATTTTGTGTATATTTTATTATATTTATCTACAGGAATTACTTTAGTTTTTGTAATTCTTTTTCTTTTTTAATTTATTTTTATTTTTCATTATATGAAAACGAAAACTTTGTCAAAAAGCATTTTTAAAAGTATTTGTATTATTTATTATATTATTCATATTTTATATTGTTAAAATAAATCACTTTTATATTTAATAAACCAATAAGGAAAAATAAAAATATTTTTTAAAATGACAAAAAAAATTAAAACTGTTCTAGAACGGCAATTTTATTTAGGATTATGTTTTTTTATTCGAGAAATTTGGTCCATACTTTTCTTAAGTAATTCACATCCTTATTTATTAAATATAATATTATCGACAAGCGGGGAGCCAGGAATTTGTTTTGAGGTGAAAGGGTAGTGGGGTAATTTTTATAAAAAAATGATAAAATTCATCTTTAAGTTATTATTAAACATCCAAAATTTAGTAAATTATTAGTACTGGTGACTAATAATTGATAATTGCTAATACCAAAATATCTATAATTTATCAGATATAAATTCTGTATATAATTTTGCGCTTATATCTGCCCTTTTTAAAAATAAATATACTACATTATTAACTCATTTGGTATCGAAATGGCTCTCGGCTTCGGCTAAAAACTGGGGTTTGTGCATCTCTACTTTAAACCATATAAAGTTATAATAACATCATACAAGTAGCAAAATATACTCATGGTCAGCAGGGACGAATTAGGAGGCTAAAGTCTCTTGAGACATTTCTAAAAAAAAGTTTTTAGTATGGGACCTCTTTTAGAAATGTTTAGCCTTCCAGTTCTCCGAGTTCTTTAAATTTTCTGTATTTGTTCCTTATTTATTGTGATCTGATTTTTCGGTACCTTCATAAAAAAAGATATATGAAATCAATAATAAAGTTTGAAAACGCGAAATGCAAAATGCGAAAAACTGGGAATATATTCTAGAAAATCTTGAAGTTAATATCTATTTATCAGTTGAGTTTTTTTAAAAAAATTACTTAAATGTAGATTAGAATATATGTAATATTCCCAGTTTAACCCTTTTTTGAATTTCTCATTTTTGACCTTATACGAATTAATATTGTGTAAATTCATTATATTAGATATTTAATATTAACTAAATGAAAAGTAGATATATTTTTTAACCGTCCCAAAAATAAATTTACAATTAAAATTTAATTAATTCAATTAGTTGGCGTTAAAATTTTTAAAGCTTATAACTTTATAATTTTTTGAATAAATCTCGAGGTTATGCGAAGTCATTCAAAAAAATTCGAAGTACTATATTCTTTACCGGCTCAGCCGTTACGCGAAGCAGAACACTAAATTTAATTTTATAGCTCGACCCGGGTTTTAACTGTTAGGACCGAGTCAGATGCTATAACACGAACCCTGAAAGGCTTAAATGCCCCCCCCCCCTCATAATTCTTACATTTTCTTTTTTTTAAATATTAAGCTAATACAATAATATAATTTTTTTTCTTAAATATTAATTTTTAACATAGATATATGTAAAGAAAAATAATACTTTATGGCTTCAGACCTCTCTTCCATGTAAAAATGGTGGGATTGGTTTCCGCCCTCCCCACCTCTCCTCCTCAAGATTAAACATTTCAAGTTTAATTTCAATTGATCATGTGATTGACCTAGAAAACCCTATTATCATATGGGTGGACAATTGTCAACCTAGCGTTAGCAGAATCCATTTTTCAGGAAGCATGGGATATTCCCTTAGTGTCTACGTTGATTTATCGAATGATTCATTAGAACAATATCTCCCCCAAGCTATTCTGAATTTACACTAAGCGAAAATCTCGGTCTTCTTCTCATTAATGAAGAATTTCATTTAGCTATTTCTCTTCGTTTTAGCTGGATATATCGCTTCCTTATAGATGTATTAATTGTTCTTTACCAATTGACTCTAAAGGACACTAATGATATACTAAATCGCCTCCCACTGCATACAAACAAATAATTTAATCTCAATAGCTCTAAGGGTCAGCATCCCCAATACCCTAGACAGAAGATCCGATGGTGTCAGCCTAATACCTGTCTTCTGATCTTTTAATTTTTTGGTGTGATCTAGCAAAAATGCTTTAGCAATTATTGGCAGAAATACTGAAATAAACATATTCAGACATCGCTAACGTAATTTTTATCCCATTTGTCACCAACCAATAATCTTGGTTATTTTTGGTAAGGAATTCCTTAAATTTATCACATTATAAGCAAGAAAATTAACCCATAAGTGGCGATCGCAATGAAGTCTTCTATTTCAAACAAGCGATTACCATAGCTATTCATCAAAGTAATTGCATTGCTTCATGGTTCCATATAGCAATGCAAGTAAATCGATCTTTTAATTTAATTTTTATTCTGTTTGTTTAAAATTTATATATATATGCTCTATATTTTTATAATCCTTAATTGTTTTTTATGGTATCACGTCAATTCGGCGTGGAAAATTCGGCGCATCGTCAATTCAGCGCGGCGACAATTCGGCGCAGCGTATATTCAGCGCGATGACAATTCGACGCGTATCTAATACAGCTTTTATTACAAATTTATTAGTATTAAAAAAAGGATGATTAAATAGAAGTCAGTCCTATTAATTATTTCTTTATATTTTTTTTAATAAAAATCTCAATTTTATTTACTAAATAATTAATATCAATAAAAAATTTAATAATATCAAAAAAATTAACAACCAATATTTATACCGATTTCTTTGGTGGACCAATTTATCACATTATAAGGTATACATATTATTTGGCAAAAATCATAATCGACAGTTTTTAAAAATTGACCCAAATCGGTCGTTTAACATTTTGATTCGAATTTATAAAGAGAGGTCTACTTTTCTCTGAGATTTTTCTAATTCATCTAGAATCAAATTTTTATCTAGAATAATCTCCATATAAATATTTAATAGGGCTAATCCATTTAAATCACCGGTAGTATTTCTTAAATAGATTTTTAACCTTTTTAAAGTTGAAAAAGGCCTTTCATTAGTGTAGGTACTAATTGGTAATGTAGCTAAAATAATTAATAATGTTTTGATAATACAGGGAATCTAAGGGCCTACAGAGCATTTTTTGGTCTCAAAAGATTCTCTATTCTGTAAAGATTTATGAAAATCAGACATCACAAAAACTTATATGAGCCTTCTAAATGATTATATAAAACTGAGATTTTCCTACCTCTCGTGTTTCAAGCGTAAACAACAGTTTACACTCAACCGGCAAAAGAAAATAAAAGCCTTTTAAAATAAAATTATGACTAATAAATCTTTCCTTTAATTTAAATAAAAAGGTACCAATAAGAGGAATAAAAATGTTTATTTTATAAAAATCCTTAATCGTAGATGCATCAATATTGAGTATTTGGATTGTCTAGAAACTACTCTAGGTAAATTTCAATCTCAAACATATTATAGCATCTCTTTTACTTTCTCATATATTTTATGGAATTTTTCATCCACAATCTCTATGATAATTGTTAATATTTAAACAATATCCTTTGCGGTATTCATAACCTCCTTTAAATCTAAATCAAATTTTTATAGAATTTTGCTAAAATCATATGTATAATTAAATTAAAAAAATTAACAAATTGAATGGATATTAAAAATTTTGGTTTAATAATAGACTGCAAAAGATTTGATATATAAAATTCTAGTGCTGCAGATACAACATAATATAGTTCAATTAAGAGTTTCACGGACTCTTGTCTTTCCACGAATCTAGTCGGACAAAATCTTCTTTTTTTTTATTTTTTAAGTCAATGTCATGATAAGCCACTTATACTTTTTTATCCATGATAATTGGAATGTCAAATTTCTCATATTTAATGACACTGGAAATTTATAATTTTATTTTCAATTAGTGTATTTATAATTTCAATACCTATAATATAAATAAATAAATAAATTGCACATTAATTCGTCGGGCCGATTTGGGCATATTTTTATAAACGGTCGATTAAGATTTTAGTCAAAATAATATGTGAGATTATGGATAAAGGTCCAAACCTTTCCTTTTCTTTATTTCTTTCATTCTTCTATGGGCAAAATCTCCAGGGTTACATAATATTGGCTACTAATCAACATACCTTATAATATGGTAAATTGGTCCACCAGAAATCGGTATAAATATTGGTTGTTATTTTTTTTTCATATTATTAAATTTTTTATTGATATTACACATTTAGTAAATAAAATTGAAATTTTTGTAAAAAAATATAAAGAAATAATTAATAGGATTAACATTCAAAATGACTTCATTTTTTTAAGGATAAAATATAACTCCGGTCTCCTTTACTTTATTAATTTCACATTAAATATAAAAGAATATATAAAAAAAATATTTTTTATAATAATTCGTTATAAAAAAGAATACTATTTTAATAGAATTTCCCAGTTTTAAGTGAAGATTTAGGCTCTACCAGATACCGGTTCGGATCTAAATTAAAATATATTTAAAATAATATTCAATTTATTAAAGTCTATGTTTATAATAGATCTATTACAAAATAACTGATAGAAGATAATATGGGATAAAATTAAAAAATTTAACACTTATAGGATTTAGTAATTTAATTCAAAATATGAAATTGCAGTAATAATTTATATCATTTTATTAATTATGAGCCTAATCAATATTATTTTTACAAAACCAAAAAATTAAAATAATATAATGTAATAACCTTTAGAGATCAGCTCTGAACGAATGCTCGTCAAGAATTTTAAATAAGTGTTCCGGTCCAGCCTGTAAATTTTTTGACTTGGTTATAAAATATTTACACAAATTGTTCTGCCCAGCCCTAAGATTTTTAAGACATATTATTTCGCTTAGATAAAAACTGAAACACTCTTTTATAATTGCTCAGAAATATAAATACAAGCTAAAAAATTTTACTAATTTTCTTAGAATTTTTTCTTAAGATCAAAGCGCTTGCTAAGTAAAATTTTATATTTATATTTTTTTATTGAATTTGTCAGAAGATATACAAAATCTTTAAGAAATTTTTGCTATTTTTAAACTTTTTTTATGTTTTTGTGCATCTCGCTTAATTGCTTATTTTATTTACACCTTTTATTATCTATATACCCTCGGATAGGTTATAGATTAAGGGTGGGTGGGGGATGGGGTACAAACTTTATTTAAAAATTATCTCGATAAGAGTATCAAATGAAAGGGAATGAAATTTTTTTTTTTGAAAACTGTTAATGGTAAAATCATCAATTTAGGTTTTCGAAGCTAGATCACGGGGAAGGGGGGTATAAACCCTTTTAAAATATCTCGACAAGTGTATTAAATGAAAGCTATTATATTTAATTTACCTAGGTCTATCCTCAAGATCATTGGGAATGGAGTGAAAAGTATTTTAAAAGTATCTCGACAAGGGCTAATAAAGTTTTTTGTGCTATTGAAATTAATCATCACTCTAGACCCTTCCTAGGATAAAGAAGAGGGAGGTAAACACTTTTTTATATATCTCGACAAGGATATGAGATGAAAGAAGGTTTTTTAGTGTTATTAAAATTAATCATAACTCGGTCATCGGATCTAGTTCTCTAAGAGGAGGTGTGGAGGGGGGGGGGTAAATATTTCTAACATAATATTTCGGCATGAATATTAAATAAAACCTAGAGGGAAGGGGAAAACATTCTAACATAATATCTCTTATGGTGCCCAAAATAAAAGGAACTATTTTGTTAATCATTCGCTTCATATAAATCATGAGGGGGATCAAGATTATAAAATTTGTTACAAATAAAATGTTAAAATATATAATTGAACCGAACTAAAATTTATTTTGATTGCTCTGTTAACCTCCATATCTTGGTTATCGCGGGAGGAGGGGGGGGGTATTAAATGAAAGATTTATTGATCTAATTGTTATAACTCCAGATCTTCAAATGAAATTGGGGGGGGGGGGTCATAATATAAATTAAAGTTAATATAATAAAAAATAGAGAGTAAAATAAACAAAAATGTTTGATTGAATTTATTTATCCTTTATATGAATGACACCAATATCTAGAAAATAATAAAATTTAGGAAAAGGGAAAGTTTTTATGGATTTATTATAGTATTTTTAAAAATTTTTGTTATTTTTAAATAAAACTGAATCAAAATTTTTTTAAATAAAAATATATTTCAAGGAAGGTTTTGGAGAAAGTTATACTATTTCGAATGTTTAATTTTATTCCAATTTCATCTAACCATTACCATATTTAAAAAGATTCCATTTTAAAAAGTAGCTCTAGTAACCGGCAGTTTTATATTTTATTTAAAATTTATAATCATATAAATTTTAAAAATAAGTAGTGAAATAATATTTCTTAGCAAATAAGCGACTTTTTTGTTTCATATATTTTCCTGAGCGATTCATATTTTAATCTGAGCCTTTCAGTTTTATATCTCATTAATTTTTTTTGGGGGGGAAATTCAGTTTTTTATCTGAGCATTAGAATAATTCTGAACATTCAGTATTTTTTTCTTAGCATAAAATATTTTGAGCTTTTAATTTTTTTCCCGAGCATTAATTCTCAGTTTTTAAATGGGCTCATAATTATTTTTTATGAAAAATCATAAATTTCATCATTCAAAGTTTTTAAAAAAAGTAAAACATTTTTCAAAAATTGTCCGGCCCAGCCCAAAATAATATTTTGCACAAGTTTCAAATTCGGAAAATCAAAATATAATTAATTATTGTTACTTATTATTATTTTATACTTACTTTAATTTTGGAGAGATCAATCATATATGGATAAATTCGGTATCGGGTAAAATGAGTCTTGAATCCTTATCCGAATCCGTCCCAGAACCCCGATGCTTTGCGCCAACGGCTACTCATCGGTAATTGGTAATTTTGGCCACGCCGAAAAATCCGGAAATTAAATTGGACACCACCGCTGGGCTTGTTTAAATTTAAAATGTCGTTAACTATTTAATAAATACCATTTTTTATCAATCATTGTTTGCTTTTGAAATTTGTGTATTGGATAGCTATTTCTATATAAAAATAGGAGTGGGATACGATGATTTACACTGTATTTAAATTAATTAATAGAATTTTTTAAATACTTAGCTACAGGCTCGCCGTTAATTTATTAGGTGGCTATTAGCTCGACAACCGTCGGTGTAATAATTTAATAGCTGTCTCCGGTGCACATTTTCCCATGATATAAACGATGATTTTTTGGAATTTGAATATAGTTTAACAAAATAATATTAATTACTATTAAAAGGTGATAAATGGCACAATTTTTTACGATTAAAATGCTCTCAAAAACTTTTACACAGTCAAAACTACCTCAAATTTTTGTTTTTGAATGATGATTTGAAAATTATTGATTTATATGATGCTAATAATAATGATTCTTTTCTATCAACTGAATTAAACCTTACGAATGATGCCTATTCAAGAATTAGAAACATAGTATTTTATAATATCAAAATAAATTTAAAATGCCTGAAAAACTATGACGAAAATAAATTGGAATTGTTATATGATTTATTAGATATTTCGACCAAGTTAATCATATCATATTATTAAAATCTATTTAGCGTTTTTTTAAGTTTTTTATTCATATTCAAAAATGATAATTATTATGGCCAAAACTATAATATTATATGCGAATGTTTCTATGAAATTTTAATGTTCATTCAAAAGTCACAGACCAATTCTAATAAATGGATTTTACAGCTGAAATTTATTATGGCTGTTTATAAATTTTTGTTAAAAGACAAGGTGATATCGGGTTATGAAAATGAGAAAATACAGAAAAACGAAGTTTTAAATTTTTTTCTACTTATATGTATAAAATATATTTTACATATCGAATTTTAGGGGCATTATGTTGAAAAATTTATAAAAATTTTCATAGAATTAACCAACAATTTTATAGGTAAATAATATTTTTATATAACTTGTTTTTATTTGTAAATGTAGATGATGATGATGAACAATTGAAAAAAAGTTACAGTTATATAACAATGATTCATTCTCGCTTGTCAATTCATTGCTTAAATTTTTTTTTGTCTTTAAAACTTGCTAGAAAGCAGTTTCTTCCAAAATCATTGGAAAAAGAATTATTAGAATACATCATTGAATTATCCAATTATTTTTATACCCACGGAAAAACACAATCAAAATTAAATTCGAAATCATTATAGTAAGTTATTTTCATTTTGTTTATCACATAAAAATTCTTGTAAAATTAATTTGAGTTATTTATTTATTTAGTTTCCAATATTAATTAAAAATTTAAATAGTACAAATCAATTCGATGCAGTGAAAATTAATTAAAATTTTAAAAGTGTTAACCAATTCGTTACAGTGAAAATTTATAAAAATTTCAATGTACCTTGCAATGTCGTGGAAATTTTTTATCGGGTTTTAAAATTTTTGCAGACCCATAATTATTAAATCTTGATTGGTTTAAAGACTGAAATTTAAAACCAAAACCGAACATAAACCTTTATTTTTACTGAAACCATCTTGAATCGAACCGGGTTCATGATGGTTATCTGATTTGAACCTAAACCGAACCTGACCACAAAATTTCGCAGATGCATATCCCTGGTTTATCATATTTTAATTTTAATTAAAATAAATGGGCTAAGCCTTCTTAAAATATCTTATTTCATATTTTATTACTTTAATTATTTTATAAATTCTAAAGCTTTTGTACCCTTCATGAAGATTTATTGTGTATCAATCATCACCAACCGACACCATCCCAGGTTTTATTCAGTAGTCATTATTTAATGTTTTCCTCCATTTTAGATCGATAAAGAATATCACAAAAATAAGACAGATAACATTTTTGAAGATGTGATCATCACTTATAATCATATTTTATTTGAAAATACTTTTAAAGAAATAATTAACATTGATATTTATGTTCGGCATATATTCACTCAATATTTCTATCAATTCAGCTCAAAGTTGAGTTATATAGACGTTGCAATTAATCATTTTGATCTCTACAAAGAATCCGTCCTCTCACACTTTAGATATTACATCAAATTATTGACCTTATATTTTGATATTCAACATGTGAGAAATGCATTTTAATTTTTTTTATTCTATACAATCCGTGACTGTAATAAAGGGATTCCTCTTATTTTGTAGGGGAGGCCAGGGATAAGTAACCATGTTTTTGCTCTTGGCAAGTAAAAGATTACTTTTAATCAATAAATTTAATATTAATATATAGCACGAAAGTTAATCTATGAAATAAAATTTAAATTAAAACGTCTTGAAATTCATTTTTTTGGTCAAAATAAGTTAATCATTATGATTATTATGAGTATGACCACTTATTAACTTTTGTAGACTTACGGAAAAAATAACTAACAAAAACTTTATTCTTTTTTTCTACAAATCAAAATATATCTAAAAATAAATTACAATCTTCGAATCGTAAAAAAAATTATTATTATTTCTTTTAAATAAAATACAAAAATATCTTTGACCTCATTTCTTTTTCATATAAACATATAATATACCTTTGACATCATTTCTTTTTCATATAAAAATATAATATATCCTTGACATACTACAACAATTACCTTTCTATATTTATTATTATTAAATGATTCTTTGTAGGCTGATAAATTAAGCATTTAAATTTTGATTTTTTATATTATTTAAAGTGTAAGGATCCTATCTACATAAGATATTTATAATTTGAATATGTTTATTCTTCATCAGACAAAAAAATGTTGAACGCGATATTGGTTATCAAATTTTCACAAAAAAAATAATCCAATAAATAAAAAGCTTGAAGGGTTGGCCAGTCAACCTCTTCATTCATTTTTCTTATTTCCGGTCTCCCCTAGTCAATTTATAGTAAGGTTTTAACAAACCTCTATTTCTCCAACTAGATTTGTTATCAATATATACTGAATTTTTATCAAAGAAATTGATAACATTATTAGAATCATAGAGAATATTATAAAAAATCCTTTACAAGAAAAGGGCTTGATCATTAAAGGAAAGCTTAATAAAAATTAGAGATTTTTAACATTCAAAAGAAGTCTCAAATATATAGGTAAAGGGTCATACAAATTATAACAAGTTTTGATTAGATTAAGGGAAAAGGTTTAACTATAAAAATATTTAATGAATTCTTTGGATTCCATAGTCTATAAATCGTTTTAAAACATCTGTTGGCGGCCAAAAAGATTCAGCTAGGCTTAGGATTTAATTATATAGAAAATTTCTAAAAACATAAGAATTAGTGTTGTATCATAAATTCAGGCCTGCTCATTCTATATTCATTTAATAGATCAGAGATGCTCTCTAGCAAGAATATTTTTTATTACAATCAAATAAAATAATCTTGCAAGTAACAGAAAAATAAAATATATGAATTATAATGGAGTGGCTTTATTTTAAAAAAATTTAATTTACTAATATTTGCAAATAATTCTAAAATTAACAAATATTTCAAATATATACTAAATTTACGATTTTAAAAAATTTATGAATAATTTGTATGAATAGTTTAAATTTATTTATTGTCTAATTTTTTTTAAATTATTATTCGTCGATTTAATTATCGAATCAAATAATTTCTTATTCATATTCATAAGTTTCAAATTGAATATCGAATAATCTTCGAAAGGCTGACCAAGTTAGAATGAAAAAAAGAAGTCAAAAGATGTGGTAATAAGAAAGAAAATCGAATAAAAGTTCTCAAAAATAGAAAAATCTATAAATAAATTATTTAAATTTAAAAAAAAAGACTAAAAAAACTACTTAACTAGTTGGAATCATATTTTTGTTTGCCTGCTTTCTGAAATTACCTTTTCTTTAATTTTGCATCTTTTTCCAAAATTTTGCATACTTTTTGCGCATTTTGCCTGCTTTTCTAAAACCCTGCGTACCTTTTGCGTCATTTTGCGGGCTTTTCCTAAATTTTTTGTTATTTTGCATAGTCTAGAAATGCCGGGCCTTGATTGACCCTAAAAAAGATTTTAAAGTAAACTCAGCTCAAAAACCAAAGCTTTGATTCAAATTTATTTTTATTAATTAAAGCATGGCTACACATCGATATTACATTTTTTACGTTAATTTAATTTTTAGCCCTATTTTTTTGAGAAAAACGAAATCATAGCGAGTTATGCCATTTGACTGACCCTAAAAAAATAAAGTAAACTCAGCTCAAAAACCAAAGCTTTGATTCAAATTTATTTTTATAGTTTAAGGCATTGCTACACATCGATATTTTTAGCTTAATTCAATTCTTAGCCCTATTTTATTTTGAGAAAAAGAAATTATGGCGAGTTATGTTATTGCTTTCGCAGAATCTAGAAAAATTAGAAAATTTCAGAAATTAACAAATTATTTAATCAGTTCCATAGGAATTTTTTCACCTATAAATTTCTAATTTTAAAAAACTTTAAATTTAAAGATAAGGGACTGATCCCACAAATTTTTTATAACTTAGGCAAAAGATCCAAATATCATATTAGAGGTCTGCACCCAATATTTAAAAAAAACTTAACCTGCCCGCCTAACCCGCCCGTAGTTTTCAAAAAAATATATACCCGCCCGAAAATTCCTTACCCGCCCGCCCATTATTTATAAAAAATTTTAACCCAAGTCCACTTATAAAATTTAATTATGGCCATTCTTTCAATTTTTAAGCATCTAATAAAAATTCAGCATAGTTTATAATTTAGGAAATTAATTTAAGCATAAAAAAATATTCAATTTAAATGGTCAATTTATTTGATCATATAGAATATTTATGAAATAAATATAAATATAAAATTGATATTATATGTAATTATAATGCAAAAATAATAATGAATCGACATTTTCTGGATTCAAACACGTTCTTCTTTGTTCTAAAAACCTTCCAGCAATGCTAAATCCTCGTTCAGAAGAAGCACTAGTTGCAGGAATTGCCAATATTTTTCTTGCTAATTAAAATGTTATTCTCAATTAAACAGTATTTCAATATTTATCACTTAAATATTTTTCAATTTCAATTTATTCTCGATTTTTGTTTAATCTTTATTTTAATTCAAAATAAATATTTTTATCAAATATGTATCAAATCTCGAACAAAATATATATTTTTTATCTAATAAAAACAACAATGCTTATCCATCTAATTTTATCTTTTTCAAAATTATATTTTCCAAATCAATCCGCGATTCAATAAATATCACTAATAATGATAATAAACAATCAATATATATATATTATTTTTCTAAATATCAACTATCAATTGATTGACATATATTAATAATGTTAAAAATACTATTTAAATATATTATTATTTGAAAATATATATCAAATCTTGATAGCTTTGGCAAATCTCTTGTCGTTTCAAGTAGGATATCCGTTTGAAGTATATTCTCTTCCTCAAGAGAGATCCGGATGTCCCGTATGCACTATATATATGTAAAACTCTTTTTTGAAGTGAGTGCGAAATGATTAATCTGCCATTCCAAAATAATATACCGTGCTATTTTTGTAATCGTTTCATGCTATTCGGAATAGTAACAGAACAACTATACAGTTTTATAAACCAGACCTCGAGTTAATATTAGAAACAGATGCATCTAACCAAGGATTTGGAGCTGTACTCATGCAAAAATATCATAATGGTAACGAATTTCCAATAGCTTACACTTCAAGAACTTTACAAGATGCTGAAAAGAATTATTCTACAATAGACAAAGAAGCAAAAGCAATATAAACGGCGTAGAAAAATTTCATAACTATTTGTATGGACGAAGATTTAAAATTTGAACAGACCACAAACCTTTAATAAAGATATATGGTAATAACAGATTTAAGCTCATTAACAAACCAAAGATTATTACGTCGGGCTTATAAATTATCTGCATATGATTATAATATAATGTACAAGAATGGCGCTAATAATATAATTGCAGATGCTTTATCGCGAAACCTAATAGAGTAAAATGATGATAGAATAACAAGTGAAAATAAAACAGTGAAATATATAAGAAATCTTATTTATGACACATTAATTCTTTCAAGAATAGAATAGAGAGGAAACCGCAAAAAATCCAATTTTAAGAAGAGTAAAAATATTAAAAATGGTACAAATATACAAAATCAAGCACCAGAATTACAAGCTTTTAGAATAAAAATAGATGAAATAGAAATGATGAAAGTATTTTATATTGGATAGGCAGATTAATCATTTCAAACTCCCAAAAAAGAGTTTTACATACATTGCATATTAGAAGTCCGGGTATTACATCAATGAAATTCATTACGAGACATTATATATGGTGGATCAAAAAACAAGTAAACAGTTGTGGATGTCAAAAACAATGCAGAGATATACCAAGTGTTGCCGTATACCAGGGGAATCCGCCATCACAACCCTGGAAAAGGGAAGAAGAAAAAGAAAAAATCGTAGGAAAACATGGCGATCAATTACGAACAAGGGAAGAACCAATGGAAACCGAATCAATAAAGCTAGGAGATGATAAAATAGTAGAAACAATGGAACCAAGTCAAGAAGGAATTCAACCCTGATATCCAACGATGGAACGAAAGCCAACAAAAAGATTAATAAATGGTACAAATATACAAAATCAAGCACCGGAATTACAAGCTTTTAGAATAAAAATAGATGAAATAGAAATGATGAAAGTATTTTATATTGGAATGGCAGATTAATCATTTCAAACTCACTTCAAAAAAGAGTTTTACATACATTGCATATTAGAAGTCCGGGTATTACATCAATGTAATTCATTACGAGACATTATATATGGTGGATCAAAAAACAAGTAAACAGTTGTGGATGTCGAAAACAATGCAGAGATATACCAAGTGTTGCCGTATACCAGGGGAATCCGCCATCACAACCCTGGAAAAGGGAAGAAGAAAAAGAAAAAATCGTAGGAAAACATTGCGATCTACGAACAAGGGAAGAACCGGTGGAAACCGAATCAATAAAGCTAGGAGATGATAAAATAGTAGAAACAATGGAACCAAGTCAAGAAGGAATTCAACCCTGATATCCAACGATGGAACGAAAGCCAACAAAAAGATTAATAAATGGTACAAATATACAAAATCAAGCACCGGAATTACAAGCTTTTAGAATAAAAATAGATGAAATAGAAATGATGAAAGTATTTTATATTGGAATGGCAGATTAATCATTTCAAACTCACTTCAAAAAAGAGTTTTACATACATTGCATATTAGAAGTCCGGGTATTACATCAATGAAATTCATTACGAGACATTATATATGGTGGATCAAAAAACAAGTAAACAGTTGTGGATGTCAAAAACAATGCAGAGATATACCAAGTGTTGCCGTATACCAGGGGAATCCGCCATCACAACCCTGGAAAAGTGAAGAAGAAAAAGAAAAAATCGTAGGAAAACATGGCGATCAACTACGAACAAGGGAAGAACCAGTGGAAACCGAATCAATAAAGCTAGGAGATGATAAAATTGTAGAAACAATGGAACCAATTCAAGAAGGAATTCAACCCCGATATCCAACGAGGGAACGAAAGCCAACAAAAAGATTAATAAATGGTACAAATATACAAAATCAAGCACCAGAATTACAGCTTTTAGAACATGAATAGATGAAATAGAAAATGAAGACGGTATTTTATTTTGGAATGACACATTAATCATTCCGTAGCCGTACTCACTTCAAAGAAGAGTTTTGCATATATTGCATACCTGACATCCGGGTATTACATCAATGAAATCCATTACGAGACATTATTTATGGTGAGAAAAATTAGATAAAGATGTCGAAGAACTAGTAAAGTGTTCTTCACTTAAAAAAACGATTGGTACAATAAAAAAAAGAAATATTGTTATTGATCATTTAATTTATTATGATTTTTCTTTAGTTTGTTTTTGAACAAAAATTTTAATTTTTTTAACCCGCCCGCCCATTGTTTAAATTTCTTAACCCACCCACCCGCCAATTGTTTCAAATTTTTTTAACCCGCTCGCCCATCTGCCCATTCTCAAAATTTTTTTACCCGCCCATCAACCCGCCCAATGCAGACCTCTACTTCATATAATATACTTTCATTGATATTCGGCCACCCTTGATTTTTCAATTATAATTTATTTTTATGAATTATAAAAAATATGAGTGGTTCAAAAATTGTCTCCTTATGCATAAGGATCATTCCATGCTAAATGGGTAAAAAAATCGAAATTTTCGGCCGACCCCTTTCAATTTATTAAAATTTGTGAGTACCCCATAAGATACAAAATTGACCTTTTTTTAATCCTTTTTCTTTATTAAATTAGTTATAATTAAATCAATTTAAATATTAAATTTGATATTTATAACTAACATGTAGTATGTTCAACAATAGTGATGTCGTTGCGGGGGGATGCAAGGGCTCAACTCTAAAAAGGAAGCTTTCAAACATTTAAAACTTTTTAAAATGAGCCCTCCAACCCACCTATTGAAAAGCTAGCTATGTTAATGTTTGACACGAATAGAACCAGTAACGAAGCGTCAAGTTTAGTAATAGGGAAGCAATTGGAATTTTTTTTCATTTTTATTAGTCAAAAACCATTCAAAAAATAAGATTTATAAATAAGTGGAATTTTGTCTTTGCTTTTGAGTAAAATCTCAACTGATAGTTTGCACATCGAATCTATAATATTTTCAATTCGATTTTCACCAAATGATTTTAATTGAATCATCGACTGCAAAGGAATGGTTGATTCTTCATGTAAACTGTTTTCAAATAATATTGAATTCGAAAATCCTTTACCATTCCAAACATACTTTTTCTTTAGGAATAATAGGTATGACCAATATATAGAGAATTAAAAATTTACATCGCGTGAGCCACCGATATTTTTCATATTTATCGATAGGAATATTACCAATGCAAGATTTTATTTCTTTTTTCAAATTTTGTAAAATTGATTTTTGTCTACCATTTTCAATAATCAATTTTTTGAGCTAAATGATATTTTTAATAAATTTTTGCAAATATTAGACACATTATTAATTATTACTTTTAAAAAAGTAGAAATATTTATTTAAAAAAAGAAAAGATTAAAATATTTTTTCTCTTTTATTTCTTAAAAAAATTTAAGCAATTTTATATTTGGTTCCTCAGTGTTATATTTTTTTTAACGCAGTAAAAAGAATATTAATTTTTTTAACGTTATAATCATTTTTTTTAATGAAGTTAAATTAGTATTAATTTTTTAAAATAGTATAAATATTATTTGAATTTTATATAAGAAAAATTTCAGGGAAGGAATACTTCCTTGCTTTATGGACGGTTCGTCACTGAATCAATTATAGAGATTTTACATATTTTATAAATATTTCAAAATTATTATAGAAATTAGATTTCAAAATTGAATCATTTATTTTTCTCTCCATATCAAGACTCATCATGATTGCCCTTCAACATTGTGTACATTTAGAAAAGGATCTGGCAAAATTATTTTTTAAAATTCCTCTGGATCTATTAAAAGGTATAATTATTTTGAAAGTCTCTGTATTTAGAAATAGTATATATCTATAATCATATAATATTATATTTAAGGAACCAGAACAAAGGCATGTCTTTCATAATCATATAAAAAAGCTATTTTATATTTTAAATTCACATAATAATCTAGATATACACCTCATTGATATCCGACCATCCTTAATTTTTAGCTACATTCATTTTCAAAAATAATAATAAATTTCTTTAAAAAAAATAATAATGATGTTTATTTTTTATTTAATTTTTATAAATTATAAGTAAAATATAAGTTCTTTAAAAATTTTCATTATATATAAAGATATTCTCTCACTACACTAAGATCACCAAAATTTTCGCCGATGTTTATCTTATTTTTTAAAATTTACTATCGTCTTGTATAAAAAATTATAATTTAATCAAATTATAACCCTTTTGAGTTTTATTTTATTCAAATGGGTTAAGACAAAACCACAAATATTAAAGATCGTGAGATCTTTATTATTTCATTAAGAGAAAATTTGGACAGAAAGGCACACTAATTAGCCACTAGTCTATATACTATTGGTGATATATTTTGACCTTACTAAAAATAGAAGACATCCAAATATAACTAATTGAACAGCAGAATTGTTAAACCCTACTTTTAAAAGTAGCGCGCTACCGCCATCGCTATTTGTCAAAAAACATAGGTCGCTACCGCTATGTCGCTACCCATCAAAAAAGTAGCACGCTTAAAGGTAGTTTTGGCTACTTTTTAGACTACTTTTTATAAAATAATTTAGAAATTATTTATTGTTTATAATGTAATTGCATAGTAATACATAAAAATCAACATTTATAAATATTTAAATATAGTTAGTTTTGATTATAAAAATTTTTTGTAAAAAGACTATAATTTATGTAATAAAAATAACTATTTATGGTAATATTCATTTTTAATTTATTTTTTTTGCATTTTAATAATAAAATCATTTCTATACTATCATCCCCAAGTCTAGAGCGGCGATCAAAAAGTATAAGTTTTGCCTTACTAAATAATTTCTCAACACTAGCACTTGAGGGCAAGGTAGTAATTAATTTTAAATACATATTTTTAATATAAGAAAAATTATCAAAGATACTCATTTGTATTTATAAATTTAAAAAACGCGTCTAGGGATTTTCTATTATATTAATATCCTTTATTTCAAAAAAATTATCGTGAAAGTCATTTTTATGATTCTGACTAGGGCATCTTTGTCTGACATCTCAATTATTTGTGTCTTGTTAAATTTTGTTCATTATAATATTTGGTGTTGTTGGCTCGTTTTGAGCAGATTTAAAAACGGTTAACTCAATATTTTAGCTAGAAAAATATTGCCTAAGCCTCAAGATTTTGCTAATAAATGTCCAAACCTTTGTTCCTTCTGCAAACAAAATCTTCAGGCTTGTGTAATATTATTCTAGATGAAATATTGAGATAGCCGTTTTTACAAATAGGCTCAAAACGAGTCGTTTAACAACACTAATATTGGTAATTTGTATAAAGTTATTAATATGTTCATGATTATTTTTTAAATTAATAATTGCAATGAAAAATACGAGTGATCGCATAACAATATAGTAGGGCAGTATATAATCTCCCAAATCTATAATATTATCAACTTTATTTTTAAATTTCATCTCTTAGCAACTATGTTAATTTAATCTTCACATTTAGATAAATCTTATACCATTTAATCTCAATTTTAACATTAATATATTACAATTTAATTAAGTTTCTATGAAAATATCTATTTTTTAAAATATATTTAGAGCCTCGTTTTATTTATTTACAAAATTTTTGACAAAGTTAAAATAAGAAATATATGTGCACAATTATAAATAAATATGTATAAAAAAATATATGTTATTGGGGATTAGCATTATAAAACTTAATTTATTTATAGCGCGGATTTAATTTTGAAAGACCTGATTATGCCTGTATCATATTCCAACATATATAGAGTACCTACCCTGTGTATACCAGGCAATTTTCCCGTAAACTTTTGGACTATCATTAATTTACAATAATTTTAATATTATATTTTTTAGATAAATTTATGACTAAATTGTCTAAAATTCACAGGGTAGGTACATAAATCCTGGAATTCCTTTCAGGGAAAATCATGTTTTTCAAAATTAAAAGATGTGGGATATAAATGATTTGATTTTAAAATTCGCAAAAACTCCAATTTATAAAGCTGTTCTGAATTTGCTATCTTCTTGCTAATAGATAAATAAAAATTTTTAGGAGATGTATGAAAATAGAACTTCAATTTTTAACTCTTCTTTATTGATAAAATTTGCCCTATACTGTTTACTTCCTTCCCGATGGCATAAAATAGGGCTACACCTTTGGGAGCCATATGACCTAGGGCGATACCTATAATTGAGGTGAAAAGATCATGAGATAGCTCGGAGTATTATTTTGTTTTGATGGTCTCCTATTGGGTTTTACATTTTCAAGTTTGGGCCTGGTTTATTTTTAAACGAAACTACGGCACGTCCCGGGATTATAAAAAAGTGGTTTGGATTTAAAGAAAATATACATATTTGGCATTTTAATAATATGAATTATTTAATAACTTTTAAAACTATCTTTATTCTAAAATGATAAATGTAAATTATTCTTCATTTAATACCAAATAAAGTAGCTAAATAACTAGATTTATGTCAGAGATCATCATAGGTATAAATATTTTGATCATGGCTAGCCCAGGCCCGTAGTAAAAAATATTTTAGGATAAGGCCCGGCCTATATTTAGTATTTTAAAAAAATCCCAAGCCCATAATAAGTTTCAAAATATTTTCCGAAACCCTTATCCAAAATTTTAATTTATTGTATTTAATGAAAAAAAAACAATAGTTCAGCATATTTAGGCAATTATTTTATTTGCAATACTGAAATTTATTATTATTAGAAGAAAAAAGTTACAATACTTTTTATAAGCTAGCAACTGTTTTAAATGAATTAATTTTAGACCGAAGCCCATTAAAAAATCTAGACTCAGCTCATGGCCGCTAGAAAAATAATATTAGGCCTGTACCCCGCCTGCTGTGCGCCTATGAAGGTCTTTGATGTGGTTATAAAATTATTTTATTTTAATGCAATATAAATAAATTTATTGTACAAATACAGATACAAATAATTGTATCTACAATGCCCGGGTTGAGATGGGTAACTTTTGAAATTTTTTTATTTGGGCTGGGCCTGGCAAAAAAATTATTGGGTTGGATTATTGATGAATCATGATATATGATAGAAGTGATCATCCAAATGTACTATTTTTAATGTAATATTTTAAATAGTTGCTTATTTTGGTGTTCATATACATATTTTTCGGGTTAGGCTTTATGTTTAAAAAAACTGGGCCAGGCCGGTTAACTTAGTATAAAATTGGTAATGAGATGGGTACAAATTTGGCCGTGCCAGATAAAAAACTTTTGTCATTTATAGTTTTTATGAAAATAAAATACGAGCACTCTTTGGGATGTCAACTATTGTGGGTTGGGACTTTTTTTTCATAAATTATCCGTTCCTGTGCCTGAACAACATGATAGATGTAGGGATTGGTTTTGAAGTAATATTATTGGGATTTAAAATTATAGATGTGGGGATATTTACATGTTGCTATTATTAAAGGCTTGAGTAAAATAATTTACAATTATCAAATTTATTATGGAGATTTATCTGGTTATATTGTATTTAAAATAATTCAGAAATATATTTTTAATAAAATGTTTCTGGGAAAATTGGTAATAAATCATTTTATAGTTACGTATTTATTTATATTATTTTATTAAGAAAACATAAATTTTTATTTTTAGATTTCACTCCTATATTCCTATCATACATCAAATGCAGCCCTTATGCGTATATTCGCAAAATTTGCTATTCAATATTGAAAAGGTTCGCTCATAGTTCAACTCACTATCCATTCATTATATATGGCATCATTTTGGAATTATTATCCCATGATGTCTGTAAGATTATAAATTTATTATATCTTATATTTATATTTAACACAGATAGGTTATACGTTTTAAACCGTCAACCGGTATGTTATCTTTGGCTATAACATATTATTTGATACAATTAATTTATTATAGATACCCATAAAGATTAAATACCACATTACTCAATTGTTCAATAACATTTTAAAACGTTGGCTTGAACGATCCGATGCTATCATATCTTTTATTTTATCTCTGCAACATATTTCTCTAACCTTAGATCAATCATGGATATCTGGCATTAACGATATGAGATTAGATTTTAAAAAGTTTTAATTTGACCAATTTATATTAAATTGGAAATACTTTCTGTAGATATATAAAAACATTTTTAACACAATTAAATGCACTTCCTGCTGATATGAAGATTGACAACGATAGAACCCACCTTGCATCTACTATTAAATCAAACACCTTATTTATTGCAAAAAAATATTTTAGACAAAATATTATTCCGGTATAAAATTTCACAATAATATTAAATAATTTTTTAGATATTGAGATATTTGCGCTATATGAAAATGTTTTCCGAAATAACAATATCTCATGCACCAGAACTGGTAAAGAATTTAAAATTCTGGGATGATTATAAATCGAAGATAACTTATCTAGTCCATATTTTAAATTCACTAAATAAATACCTGGAAGATAATAATTCAAACACTAAAACATTAATTGTTATGATGAAAATATTTTACAAAAAATTTTCACAGGTAAACGTTGTTTAATCAATTTTATGTTATATGAATAGACCTGTCCGCCGATGAAAAATTACCGGCGACGGTGTGGAGACACGCCAAAATTTTTTTAAAGTATTTTTGATTTTTTTTACTCGTAAAGAAATTGATATTATTTGAAACAATCTTTTTTAAATAAAATTTATCAACTTATATAATTATAATATAACTATTATTAAACTACAGGATATAACGAGAACCTATTTTAGTTTAAAATGTGTCTAACTTAAAAATACACGTTTACTGGATGTGCTTATTTTTATAGAACCCTTAAAATAAAACCTATTTTGATTTAAATATTTTGCCAGCCATTTCCGTAGAATTCCAATAAAATCTATTTTGTTTTAAATATTTTATTATTTTATATCAAAATCCAACTGCGACAAAAAAAATATAATCTATTCGCGATAATAATAAAAATTCTAATAATTTTCCGCGAAAATTAAAAAAAAATTAATATATTCAAAATAAATGATCTAGTTTTTCTCTTTTTCATATAAAAGTAAAATATATCCTTGACATCATTGCAAATAACAATCAATTAATCCCCCCAAAAAAACAAAATAATATTACAATATCAACCCCCCCCCCCCCTTTTATTAGGAACAAAAATAATGGGCATAATTATATATTTTTTCGTCACTATATAAAAAAATCAATCAGCGTATAAGCATTCAATAAATGATTCACATATTTTTTTAAGCATTATTTTTTGTTTTTATTTCTTCTTTATCGTTTCATGCACTCGCTCTGATCTTCAATGATAGCCATTCAGTATTGTTTCAATTGAATCCGATAGATGATTATACGATCCTCCTTTCTTTTAGGCGATTTTTTTAGTAGCATACATTTGTTGTTATCCTAAAATTGCGTCATTCCTTTTTCACGATATGACATACGGCATTCGTGGATAGTAGTTGCTTATTGATTACACGATTATTTACACCATTGAAATCTACGTCTTCATTAACCAGGAACTTTCCTTAAATAATTTCTTTTTTTACTATTTCCTCTTTAAATCATTTATATACTCACTTCCGTAATTGACCCCCTCGCCGTTATCATCAAATTTTACCCAATTTAAATTGTTTCCCAAATTTTCTTATTACTACACCTTTCTCCCATTTTTTTGAACTTCCATATAATCTAATCCATACTAATTGTCCAGAAGTATATTCCAATTTCCTTCTATCGATATCCTCAATAATTACAGCCGTTTTACTAGGTGCCAACATATCCAAAAACTTCCTTACCTTCCGACCTATCATCTTTTCGGCCGGAGACAAACCATCTTTTCCCACAGCATTATAATAATACAAATGCTCTACGCATATTTCTCCCTTTCCACTTTTTGTCTTCTTCAACTATCCTTTAACTGTCGCCACCATCCTTTCGCCTGTCCATTTGAACTGGGGTGATACGGTGGCGCTAACACATGTTGCACACCCGTTTTCTCACAGAACTTCTAGAATTCTTCGCCGATAAAAGCTGGTCCCTAATCCTATAACACCGTTTTCGGAATACCAAACTTCGACCATACTTTCTTAAAATGTTTAATCACAATATTCGCAGTTAACCCATGTATTTCTTCAAATTCTATCCATTTGGAGAATGCATCTACACTTAATATATACTTTTTTCCTTCATATTCGAAATATTCAACATGAATCCTCTCCCCTGGTTCTATAACTTTTGGCCATGTACCTTTTTTATCCTTACAGGGCATGTCTGACCATGCATTGCAAATCTCACATTCCTTTCCCAACTTGGCAATATCTTCGTTCATTCTGGGCTACCATACATATTCACTTCCCCATTGCTTCATACGAGTAACTTCTTGATGACCCGCATGTATAACATTCAAATTTTTTTCTCTCAACCGCCAGGTATAACGGCTCGGTGTCCCCTCATAACACAAGCGTCCACTAAATTTAATTCCGTTTCAATATTTTTGAACTTTATCATCATCTTGCCATGACCTTTTTCCCATTAGACACAATTTAACTACCGCTAATTCTCTATCTTTCCTTGTATACTTTGTATATATTCCCAGGTAGTTGGGCTAACTTTTATACCTCGCATTACCATACGTACCAGACATTCTTCCTGATTATCCTTTTCAATACAACAGATTCATCCACGCTTTCCCCCGCTCATAATCTCGACAAAATATCCGGTGATTGATTCTCCTTTCCCCTTCGATATTTTAAGTCCATATCAAAATTTCACCAACAATAACTATCGCTGAAGTCGAGGCCACAACATCAATTCTTTATTATCCTTTTTAAATAAATGTGTTAATGGCTTATGATCTGTAAAATTAACAAACTTCCCTATAAGGTACTCGCGACACTTTGTTAACCCAAAAATCACAGCCAAAGCTTCCTGCTCTATCCCCGAATATCGCTTTTCTACCTTTCTAAATACTCTCGAGAAAAAAAATAAAACAGGTCTTTCTATCCTTTGTATTAGATGCAACATCGCCCCACCTACTCCTCTATTACATGCGTCTACAGCCATAATTACTTCCAAATCACTATTAAAACACATCAGAATTGGCTCTTTCCCAATTCTCTACTTTAATGTTCTGAACGCAATCTCTTGTTCCTATTCCCATTCAAAATGTACTCCTTTCTTTAATTCGCTAAAGGTAATAATTCACCATTACCATAAACGACTGCCTCTACTTTACTGGTCGGCCTATTCAAATTCGCAATATTCAACAAATTTTTATCCAATGGTTTAACCCTCATTCCATTAATTTTATGACCCAAATATGTCACTTCAGTTACTCCCAACACACTCTTTTCACGACTTGCCTTTAACCCTTTATTTCGAATTCTATTGAACACCTTCCAGCCTATCATCATGCTGTTTCATCGTTATTCCCACAACCAAAGCATCATCCATATAATTAAAAACACCCTCTAAACCCTGGTAAACAGCAGCCATTGTACGCTGAGAAATAGGGGCCTACACACTTAACCCAAACGATAACCGACAAAAAGTAAATATTCCTTTAAAAGTCGTAATCGTCAATAACTTTCGAGTCGTTTTTGCCATCGGTAATTGCAAATATACGCACGAAAAATTAATCTTGGAAAATTTAACGGGTATTTCACCTCTACAAGTAAGGAAATCTGCGCATAACCTTAACTTACGTTAGCCTTTCTCACATGAACCAACTGAGTTGCCCATTCACTGTAACCAATCGGACAAATAATTCCTTCTCGCACCCAGTTATCCAACTCTTTTTCCATTTCCGCCCTCCATAAATAAAACTCGTCGCACCGGATTATTTTGCTATAAAGCCTTCCTTTAAACGTAGTTCAACTTCATAATTCACTAAACATCCTAATTTCTCCTCAAAAATTTCACTATAATTATTCATTAAAATTGCCACGGCACTTCGCCAATTCTCCAAATTCGGTCTGCACACTTCTTGACTAATAATTTTTTACTCTATTTCACTTCCATTGGTTGCTATTTTTATTTCATCAATATTTCCCGCATTACACACTTTCTACCAGGTATTTCCTTTTTTACCTCTCTATTTTTGTCATTTTCCATAATATTAACACTTCCCGACAACTCATTATCTCTTTCCTTTCTTTTTTTAATGGCACTATCCGCGTTTGAAAACTATTCGTTTTTACAAATTCATTAATTACCCGTCATACCGTTTCCAAAAGATTTCATTCTTTGTATCACAATTTTTGATTTCCCATTTCAGTATTTCGATCTTCAACCATTTCATCCCGTTTAATTCCATTTGAAAATATAGCCAAAAAATTATTTACTGGACCAATCTTAACAATCCATTCCCATCCCATAATCATCTCCACTTTTTTTTAGCAACAATCGACAAATTTAAATAATCAACTATACTATACCATTTATCACAAACGGTATTTTAATTTTTCTTAAAACCTTTATTTCCGATCCATTAAATTGTCTAACTATCATCTCCTCAATTATAATCTCTTTCGGCCAATATTCACAATAATTTTCATAACTTACAATCGATATCGCAGCACCTATATCCAACAACATAGATATTTCTCTACTTCCTACAACTATTTCTACATGAGGACATTTATCCTTCGCACTTTTGATTTTAAAATTGGAATTTTATAATTTTTCATATTTTCATCATTTACTAAATTTATATTTCTCTTATCTACTAAATTTCCTTTAACTTCTTTATCGCTACCCACTGGAATTCTCATGTCAGTCTTTAATTAATAACTCCTATTATACTATTTTCACTATCATTTAGTCACCTCTCCGGATATTCTAATCATAATTTCATCTTTACCTTTCCCCTCCTTTAAAACATTATTATTTTGTACCATTCTTACATTGGATGCTAGTGCTAAATATTTCACTGCCGGAAATGCTCCCACATTTATCGGTTCTCTTACATTACAATTCTCTTTAGAATGTCCCATTTTTCCACTTCTTTCACATTGAAATGTTTTTTGATTATTTCCATTAAAACGATACGTCGTAACATAACATTTTTCACTGTTATGCCCTACCCCTCCACATCTTTTACATTTAATCCGTTGCTTGTTAAACGCTGCACACCTCTGAGCACAATTTTTACTTATATGTCCCAATTTCCCACGAGCATAGCATCTCACCCCTTGAATATTCATCTATTGTCGATTAAATCTGTCCCGAAAAAAATTCTCTCTTTTTAATTTTCTTTTTCATTCCTCAACAAGCTCATTAGAGTATTTTAAAAAGATTATCTTCCATTTTAAATGCTATATAAACGTATACACAGTTGACTATTATTGTTTATCTAAAATATGTAATTATATGCTCTTGGCCGTTATAGTAATAATCTTAAATTACATAGCAACACAAATAATAGATGCTGGTTAATTTCCAGTAATAGCCATGACACTCACGATGTAAACTAATATCAGAATTTATTATGTTGGATAAATTGATAAAATAAAAACACT